CTTATTGTTGATTCCATTCCAAGAAACACTTTAGTATTGATCCGTAGGATAAAATGTACAATTCAAATGCTTATCAATTAGTTAGATATTTAAGAGATAAATATCAGTAACAATCATTAGTATTTTTATATAGTTTAGATTCTATAAATCAATCCTATATGCTGAGTAGATTTTAGTTTCATTCCATTACAATGAAGTCGTTAGTATCCATAGGATATCTTGTTCAAATGCTTAGATATATATTATTGGATAGATATATATAAAAAATAATAAATCCGATATTTTTTTATTCGTATTTTTTAAGTCGTTAGGTTTGATTCGTATTTTTAATAGATATCCGATATATATCAAAATGCTTTCCATTACAATCCTTATAGTTTTTTATTCGTATTTTAATAGATATATATCAAAAACAATAAATCCGATATATACCAAAATGCTTTCCATTACAATCCTTACCGTTTTTTATTCGTATTTTTAATACATATATATCAAAAACAATAAATCCGATTTTTTGTATTTTGTTTATATGAATGAATATAATATTCGCATACGTATAAAATTTAAATCGAAATGGAAAAAACTTCTAAGAGGAATAATATTGATAAACTTCTATGTGAACTTCATTACAATAACTATTGTTATAAAAGAAAAAAGATTGTTTTAAATGTTCAACACTGCTATCCTTAATATTGTATATATTATTGGACAACATGGCTTCATTACAACATTAAAATCCATAATGTAGGATTAGGATTGGTATATGGTTTTTGAGTTTTATTCAATTTCAACTATGATTTGGCTTCATGGTTTTTGATTTTAATAAATCAAAAAACTGACATTAAAGCTGCACAGTTTTTATTATCCATACAAAACCTAAATTGTATTTTATATATTGGAGTTGGGGATCCTATGCATTATGCAAAACCGAATTTGAGGATTATCATGGATGCCAATTTAGCATATTTTGATTCAAATTTATATAGGATTATGCTTTTTGCAATTGTTAATTGTTAAATTAAATTAACAGAATCAAACAATTCAATTTAACAATAATATTTAAAATTTAAGAATACTAAAACTGAACTTATTAAAAAAAAATCGAATCAATATAAATTGTGATAAATCTTATTTATAATTACGCAAAAGCCTCGGCAACTATATGTTACCTAGAGACTGCGAAACAAATATTCAACGATTCTAAAACATTAAACTCATGCGACCTATAACTTATATCCCAACAAATATAAAGTCTTCATCAAATCAAATCCAACTAAATAACTCTAATACGCAAAAAATAGTAAATTAAACTTATGTTTCAATCTCATCACATCATTCGTTCTTATCTTCGATCAAATTTCCATCATTATCAACCTTGGCTTTCCCTTTATTGCTTGTAACGGACTCGGCAGCAAATTGATCAGAAAGGTTCCGTTTTGCAACTGCATTGTCCCCAGCAACATTCTTATCTTGCATTTGCTTCAATGGGGTGGATGCCTCATCTTCTAAAGCAGGATCCTACAATAATTAAAATTAATATAACTTAATTTATTTTTTACATCATTCCAATATACTACAATTCAATATTCCATAATTTCGGCATTCATAGAAGAAGAAAAGCATTGTGATAGAATTTACCACTCCACTCGCAGCTTCCTCTCTTTGCAAGAGAGTCAAGAAATCCGATTCCTATGGGAATAGAAAAAATAAGTCCACAATAAATACGTTAATTTATATTTATACACTAATAAAAGGCAAAAATATTTTGATATTTGCAATCATCGTATATAAAAAGGACTTACATCATACTGCACGACCCATTGACTATACTTGGAAACCAAGTGCTCATCAACAACTACTTTAATCACAGAAAATGTAGAGCTTTGGCTGAAAGGATCATCTGGCTTAATGCGAACCTTGAAGAGATATGTTTTCCCCGTTAACTCATCAAGTTCGTCGGGAAGTTCAAAGATGTCTTTCCTCTACGAAAAGATTAAATAGTATATAATATTTGACATTTGAAACAATCATTAATAATTATACATGGGAAATAATATACTCGATCCTACCTTTTGATCATATTCTCGCTTCAATATATCACAGGTTTTCCCAACAATATTTTGACAATCTTTATCCCAACAAATCAAGGTTGCACTTGAAGAAGCATCGGAAACACCAAATTGTATTCTGTACCTAAAATTGTACACAAATAAAGGATTAAATTTGCAAATTATATTCACAATAATATCAGAATTTTCACACTAAAATCGGAATATTCACAAACCGGAATGTGCCGCGAGTGTGAGAGCACTTCCGACATGTATAGATTCCGTTGTCATTCTCCATCGAGCAGCTGCATCGCACACATGAAAGGTACCACCAATCGTCTATAACAGAATCAATAGTCGCGCAAACCCAAGTGTCCATTGGCTACAAAATAAATATACATACCAAGGTAATATAAATACATAATTACCAAAATAATTGCACATCTTTGAATTATAATTATTATTATATTCGTTTAGTTTAAACTAACATATTAAGAATACGAATACAAATAATTGTTTAATTAAGTAAAAACAATTTTTCAATTTTAAATTGAATATAATAATAAAATAAAAATGTATATTATAATGTGTAATATAATCAATAATATTACCTCGACACATTCAAATAGAGAATCAACAGAACTAACAACAATGTCACCGTCATCAAGTCCTTGAAGTCCGGTCTTCACAATGATTGAGCTACTTGAAACCAACTTGGTGTCTTTAATTTTACTTGTTGCTAGCCTTGGAACACAATAAAATAAAAAATAAAAATAAAAGGTTAAAATAAATTGTGATTAGTTCAAATTATCGAAAAAAAAAAAGTGTATTTACTTGATAACAAATAACATATACCTCCTCC